ACAATCGACTCGATATAACAGTCCAAATGTAATAACACGTTACTGACTAATAATATATAATTATATATATACACGTAAAAGTCTTATATATTGTTTTCATCAGCGTATCTTCGTTTTGCTTTATGGAGTTCATGGGAATTTGGGACGTTATCCACAAACGCCTTGCATTTAATTGAGCGTTTCAAAGGTCAATAGGAACGGCTCGTCATAAAAAAAAAGAAAGCCATCGGGGTCTTATATAATCGGATAGGCATGCATAAAACATTAATATGTTCCTCATTTTACGCGCGTAATACCTGGCCGGACGTACCCAAGTCGAGCTTAATAAATAGCTAAAACTTGTGGGTATTCTGCTTGGCATTCACATCGGTTACTATTGGGGAAAATATAACTATATTTTGTCACACGTAAAAACCTTAATGAATATCCCTATTTTACAACCTTCAAAGAAACCAAAATGGCTTTGTTATGAGTGTTAATTCTTGGTTTGTTTGGAAGTGATGGGAAATTACAATCACTTAAATGATTTCATTTATCTGAAAAATATGCATCTAAATTGTACAGTAACGTCTTTTTTTTTTATAAGTTGATTGATGCCAGTGAACACTCAAACAATGTACATTTCCGGAGTGTTAATCAAACTTATTAACTGACCAATCAGAATCAAGTGCCAGGAAGACGCACATGTCAACCATACACGCGTGTTGCCCCACAAACGCTCTTGTTCACATACAATTTACGATAATGCTTTGTAGGTCACAACATATCCCTTGGGCGCGGGCCGTAGTAGAAAGTTCAATTGGATAGAGGTCAGTGGTAAAATCCTATCCCTAAAACATCCATCATTATGCAAAATCCGTCGGCTAAATCTCTTAAATGTGCTTACATAGCAATAGCAAACATCTGGCAATCCATAAAATAATATGCCACATAAATTGAATTAAAGTGACTCTCTCTTATAATAATATTTTCAGAAATCAGTATGAAAAAAAAAACTTTATTACAAAGAGAATAATAGTCAGATGGTTTCTATCTCACTATTTTAAAGCATAGACTAAACACTTGTCTTAAAAAATTAATTGTTGGCCATCACGTTACTTAATATTACAGGAGATTTCATATTATGCTCAAGCAATACCTAAATTAACTTTCATGGTCTTTTTAGAAAGGAAATATAACCAATTCCCATTATGTATATTAAGTTTATTATAGTCCAATCATGTACTGATTTATTGTTATATTACACACACTAAATGCACAACGAGAAATTGAACTTCCTACATTAAGTTCAAAACTGCTTCTATAATAAATTTAATAAGAATCAATTCAATGTTTGTATAGCTTCGAAAGCAATCATTGGCCAATAATTTTATGAACTTGGGCATGTTTTTAGCGGATATTAGCCTATGATGGCTTTCGAAGCTATAAAAGAAATTGAATTGAATCTTATTGAATTTAGAAGCGGTTTTGAACTTGATGTAGGAAGTTCAATCCCTCATTGTGCATTTAGTGTGTCGGTGATCATAAGTGCGTTATGAATTTGATTTTATGGCTGTTAGTAGATAAGAGGGCCAAAGCTTGATTAGCTTTGCTATTTCCTGTCCACCTTTTGCATTGTGTTGATTGGTTGCGTGCGCACATGCAATAAAGAATGAATGAATGAAATATGTGTTCCATTATATGCTTGATCTAATGACTGGAGGTAATAATGTTTAATTTAATTTAATTTAATTTCATGTCTTTATGCACAAGCGCCAAGGATATGCCAATAAGTGAACGTAATCACTGTCCTACGTGGCATATCCAATTAACAACAGAGGACTTAATGGACCAGTACACCGGGGTAACCCCCTACTCTTCTCGAATGATGTACTGGGTTCTTTAAAGTGCACACGAGCCAAATGCGTACACTGGTGGGCCTATGGTTTACAGTCCTTATCCGAGAAGACTTTTTCCGCCAGCGGAACCATTGGTGAGTGAGCCGTTCGAACCAGCGCCGATATTAGAGCTGAAGCGGTGCCCCTGACTTAACCGCTCGTCCAATCAACTCGCCAAACGCACAGGGGACTATACAATATGCACTCTATAACTATTCGACCATTGTGATTTTTATTATTTATTAGTCTTATGATAGAAGACAAAAGACGTGCATTAATCGGCATTGTCCTACTATTGAGTAATTTGTTCAGATGTCGTGGGAAATCGACGACTGTCCTATTATATTTTGCTACCCTTTGAATGATTGCATTATCTGAAAAATATTAATTTGAATTGTATTATTATTTATATTTTGTGTACGGTATATAAGGCACGTTTTCGTCACACTATTAATTATTGCCATGTATACAGCTATAACTATAGGTTTATGCAATTTTTAGCAAAATGTTTGTCAATGTTAACAACCTCGGTATATTTTGACTGCACGGAAACTGTAACAGCAAAACAACGACTGTTGGTTTTATGTTTTATATACAAACTCGGAATGGTAAATCGCAGAAGTGGTATTATGAATCTAAAGGTAAGATAATGTGCTAGCATTTTCCGCCACGTTGTTTGCGCGTTTGATTTGTATAAAACATGGCATCGTGTTACAAAAATTTAATTGCGAGAAAAAAAACACCGTTTTTGTTGTGATATTTTTTTTTGTATTAGTGTTTTTCTGTCCGGCCATTTATTTATTTATTTCGAATATTAATAAACAGGCAATTAAACTGTTATGTTACACATTTGTGTTTTTTAAAGCGTTTTAAACTAGACACCTATGTTAAACAATTACCTTGAAATGCATGACAAAATTTCGCCCTCCACTTACAACATTACGCAAGGTAGACAAACTAAAACTGACCCCCCACAGGGCCGCGTTCTTTACATTCAAATTGTAAGAACTCTCGCTATTACGTGAGATAGGCTGAAACAAACACTATTCCATTGAAAGTTTAAAGTTTTTCGGAAAAGTACTCGAAATATGGCGGAAAGTCAGAAATTTGCACTAAGTGCTTAACTCGGCGAGATAAGCACTTTCTTGAAAAAAGTGACAATGTTAAAAGGTTGAGTCAAAATGTAATTTTTTTTTGTTAGGTTAGGGTTAGGGTTAGAGTTAGGGTTAGGGTAAGAGTTATGGTTAGAGTTAGGGTTAGGGTTAGGGTTAGGGTTAGAGTTAGGGTTAGGGTTAGGGTTAGGCAAAGTGAGATAGGCTGAAACAAACACTATTCCATTGAAAGTTTGAAGTTTTTCGGAAAAGTACTCGAAATATGGCGGAAAGTTAAAAATTTGCACTAAGTGCTCAACTCGGCGAGATAAGTACTTTTTTTGCAAAAAGTGACAATGTTAAAAAGTTGAGTCAAAATGTAATTTTTTTTGTTAGGCACGGTGAGATATCCTGAAATAAACACTATTCCATTGAAAGTTTGAAGTTTTTCGGAAAAGTACTCGAATTTTGGCGGAAAGTCAAAAATTTGCACTAAGTGCTCAACTCGGCGAGATAAGCACTTTTGTGCAAAAAGTGACAATGTTAAAAAGTTGAGTCAAAAATGTAATTTTTTTTTGTTAGGTTAGGGTTAGG